TAATGATATAAGGTTAGAAGAAAGTTATAAAAGGTTAGAGAGAACATCAGCTAATAGAATGCTAAAATAGAACAAAAGATGAGAAATGTTGAAAATAAAACTTATGAAATAATTAATGAAACTGAGAGTGATTAACTTGGCAAGACATCAGAATTAATACCAATAAACTACCAATAGACAGAAGAGTAAAGCAAATGATACAATGAAAGGAGAGTTAAAACTGATCAAGATTAAACTAGTAAAAAAGCTAAAAGGATGGGATGAAAAAGGCATACAATGAAAAAGACCTAACAATGAAAGGATCAATAAAGGTTTAGAATTGAATTTTACAGCTATAGATTAACAAAAAAATTACAGAACATGAAAAAATTAAAATCAAATCGATAGAACTACTTTTGGAATGCTAGAATCATGAGACAAGGACAACAAAGCAATCAATAAAACGGTCTCTGAAGTGCTGAATACAGAGATAGCTAGATTGCAACTGGTACTTTGCTGTCTTTTTATTGGTACGTATTCAACAAAAGATAAAAATAAACATGTAGAGATTATGTAAAATGACATTAATACACAAACTTAATACATACAGTACATAAGTTTCAGTATTTTCTCAATGCATCCTAATCAGTACTGCTCATTGTTCAGTTCGTACTCCTCTGTTCAGGATTAGGTCTAATTCAGTCCTCATCACCGCCATCGGTTTCCATTGTCTGAAGAATTCCTTCCATAACTTCTGCCTTTCGCCTTTTCTTTGGTAAATCACCATGAAAATGTTCAGCTGTTTTCCGTCTCAGTGTCTCGACTGTATCCTCTGCCTCGGCCCATTCCAGCACAAGACGTCTGCCGTACAGATGGGTGCTGTGGCAGAGTGCAGCAAACGCTTTCTGCATGGAAACAAAAACAAGAAAAACATGTTTACCACACTTAAAACAAATTCATGACTTAAAATTCTTGAATAGTGCTTCAGAGGATATGTATTAAATAAAAGCAAAATATACCTTAGCATCCTGTTTGGTGAGGAAATCAACAAAAGCAAACCCCCGATGGTTCCCTGAACCTGCTGCTTTCTTTGGAAGGCGGACAGTCTTCAGCTCCCCGAATGTACTGAGGGGAAACATAATTGTTTAAACCTCCAAACAAAACAGAGTAAAAAAATAACTTATTCATGGTTGTGTAAGTGGTACCAAAAGAGCTCTCGGACTTCCTTGACATTTGCTTGGAAGGGAATGTTGCGCACAAGGATCTTTGAGCCTGTCTGCTTCTTCTCAGCTTGCTTCTTCTTGTGAGACACCTCAGCAGACCTTCACACAGATAGGAAACAGAGCGAGTAAACAGCAACTCAAGGAATTTATTATTTCTATTTCATCTCATTTAACCAGTTTACTTTTTAAGGATGTATTCCTCAAATGAATACACCACTTACCTTGTGCCTCTTTCGGAAATCTTCACCTCCAACTGGTGATCATCTAACATACAGTGCTGAAGAGATGTTTGAGAGAGAGAGCAAAAATATTAGGCTAAATGTAAGTTGTGGAGCTGTTAAGTGGAAGTCCTTCAGAAAAAAAATTGAAATAGATACCTGCAGTTGCCTCAGAGCCTTTTGTGCTGACTCTGCTGTCTGATATTGGACAAAACCGTAACCCATAGACATTAGTTTACCTGAAAGTCCAAAAGAAAAGATACCCAATGATATAACTAAAAATAAGCACCGAAATGCATAGAAAAAGATACACAGCGACAAATTACAGATATGAATACTTAAAAAATTACAACGCTTAAGAATTAGAATGCCTTGTAAAAAAGGAAAGGGTATAGAAAGACGTTTAATTATTGCAAAGCTTTTAAATATTCCATTTATAAATTAAAATATATTTTATTTTATTGAGCATAAGTCAACAGTCTAAGACTGGACCCAATAACAATCTTTCCTTCATGTCAGATATCAGGACTTTTTCATTTCAGCCCATTTTCTGAGAGGTTTTGACTCAGGTGTCTGCAAAAAAAACAAACAAAAACAACAAACAAAATACCAAGAATAGCACAAGAAGAGAACTACTCAGCCGATCAAAGTTTTTTACCCAGTTAGACAAAAATGTATCTGTAGGTGTTAAAACCAATCAGACATCTATAACCAAAGTAAAAAAAAAAAAAAAAAAAAAATTTTGATGATTTTCCGAAACTCACATAAAGCAATATGCAAACTTTAATACATTTGTTATCAAGAACAAACAAGTGTTCAACTAAATGTAGGTATCAATGTAGGTATCAGTAATGCTCACACAGTTAGGTTAACTGCTACCATTTGTTAATATGCCGGCATTATTCATTTTAACAAAAAGAAGCTAATTTGCTATGCTAACAGCATACTACAAGACATTTTTAAACATAAGAATTTGTATCAACTGTATTGTGGTGGTAGGAAAATATTTGGGGCTAGCATTAGTCATACCCTTACTTTGCACAAAGTGGACTGATTTATGGAGAAATGGAGCTTCATGTGCCATAATATAACCTCAGTCAGTTTCAATATAGATTTAAACGTGTAGCATTAAAAGCATTAAAAGTGTGGGTAACCTTCCAGGCAGGATCACTTTTGTGGCTTAAGCATAAACATATTATTCTCTAAACAAAATAAATAAAAGCTTATATAAAGAAAATGCATAAGCATCAGACCAGAATTAAAGTCATAATGTAAAATACCTGACTTATCTTTCTTCTTTGAAATGCTGCAAGACATGACCTTTCCACATTTGGAGAAGATCTGCAGTAAATAAAGTAAAAGGCATTAAAAAAAATCTTTTTACTGTTTAATTTGTAAATGAGACAAAATTTAGCAGAAGTTTGAATAATGACTTACATTTTGTAGTTTTTCTTCTGTTGTGCTGAAATTTAGATTCTTAATGAAAAGTGTAGATCCTGGCTGAGCTTCTTCTTCCTCCTCATCTTCTTGATCATCCTCCTCTTTCTTGTTCTCTTCAACTGCTGTCTCCTTTTTGTCTGGTATTAATATTTTTTAGTAATATATTGTTAGACACAATATATGACATGAAAAAAAAAGGATAAAAAAACCAAACAAACAAATGGTCTAAAATGTGCAGTTAATTTTACCCATTTCTTGTTTGGCTGCTGTGAACACCCCTACAGGGGCCCACTCCAAATACAGAGGGACATGATGGAACTAGGATTTAAGAAAAAAAACAACACAAATTGACTGACCAACATAAAGTATGAAATTATTGTAAAACTCCTGGACACAATAAATTTTTTAAGTCAAACGATTCCACTCTGATACCCCTAAATAAAAGCTAGCCTCCAGAAGTTACTTAAAGGTATAGCGGAGGATGTTTTTTTTCCAGGTAGATCATCAAAATAAGTGGTCCTCCTAATTGTCAATCATTCTGCTGTTATGTTTCCGTAAGGCTGTCCTACGTGCTTGTCCCCATTTTCACTTGGTGAGTTTGGGAAAGGGGAAAAATTGCAAATCTTCTTGAAAGTAAGCTTGTATGAGTGATGCAAACAGCAACTTTCACGCGTTTAATAGGTGTTAAGCGGAAAAGGCAAATCTTGTCAAAAATTTACGAAGATCCTCCACAATACCTTTAATCAATAAACAGTCTACCTGGGAGTAATTTAAGTATAAATCCAGTTGCTCTTTGAATAGTTGGAGAACTTTAGAGGGAAATCAACAAAAGAAGCAACCAAAGGGACAATGTTAACTGTGAATGAGTTGGTGAGGTCTACAGCTGAGGTGGAAAAATCTCTTAGCATAGCAACTTAAATTCCCCAAATGTCCCATACAAATTTGAACAAGGTAAAAAAAAAAAAAACACTTTCTATGGCTCCATCATCTAAAATCGAAATTAAATACTATTTTAAATTAAATCGAAATTAAATACCATTTGAAATAGATCGAAATGAAATGCTTGAAATGTGAAAAGGTGTGTGAGGACCTTTGCAAGGCGCTGTGGATGTCACCCACCTTGCTGTAAGCCAGCCTTGTAAAGGCTCGCTTGGCTTTGGTCGGCTCCAGGAACTCGATGATGGCTGTGAGTCCTGAAGGCGGCAGCAGAACTCGACCCAAAGAGCCGTGAGGCGAGAAAAGTTCCTCAAGCTCTGCTGTTGTAACACCAGCGGGGAGATTTTTTACCAGGATCACAGTGTTACTCCTCGCTGCAGCTGCCTGTATAAAAATAACAGTATGTTAAAACATATGTTGGATTATTAGGTATACAGACTCTCAGATTTTGTTCTAATTACTTGACTAAAAGAGTCTAGACAAACACTGTTGTCTAGCAGAAACTGTCGAGTTTCCTGGACAATCTGAGTTTCTCCTAGAGCCATCCTCACGGCAACGCTTCCCTTTGACTCCTTCGGAGGATAAAAACGCAAAATCAGTTTATTTGATTGATAATAAGTAAAACAATTCAGCCTAAAAAACGTGACTCACATGGTCCAAGACTTGGCTTTTTGTGGCATTATATTTCTCAGCAATGGCGTCGGCCACTGCACTAGTACCCAAAAACAAAGTGTTCCAGTTGTGTGAGCTGAAAAAAAAAGAAAACATAGATAATGTGCAATTAAAAAAACAGGAAAACTAATCAGAAATAGAAAAGAGAATTAGTTAAATATGGATACCTTGAGCTTGTAGCTTTATTCTTAGCATCTTTTTGTCGTTTATATGTAGATGAGCCAGGACCACCAGATTCTGAAGACTCAGATTTTTCTTTCTTCACCGTAGAGGGAAGAACATGAAGCATTCTACCCTAAAATCACACCAACAAATAATGCATCCTGTCAGCCTGAGCAGATAATCAGTTAAGAATCTGGAAACCATTGAAAACAATGTTTATTAGACAAATTAATGACAAAACCCAAAAACCTAAGAATCAGAATCAGAATTGACATTTCTGAAAGGATTCAAAATATTTCAAAAATATTTACAATATTCTAAAAAAAAAATTTTTTTAAACTTTGGAGCAACCCCCCCAAAAAGACATATTTACCACAAATCAGTGTTAGTCTTATATTTGCTTTGCTGAAAAACATAAAATATAACTACAAATGTAACGAGCAAGTTAACTTTTCTAATAGAATACAGAAAAAAATTTATTATTATTCAACTCACTTATAACTACCCATTTCAAACATCACTTCACAGTCTTCCATCAAGTTAAACACTTATCCCTATTTTTCTCCCATGTTGGATGAAAAATGTTCTCCAAAATGTTTACAAGAATTTTTTTAAAAGATAAACAATATAATACTGTACTCTAAAGTGCTAATACTGCACTGTACACTACTAAACTGAAAAAATCTTTAAAGCCTGTAGACCATATTGTGTATTTTTTTAAATTGTGAAAAATAACTACCTGAAATATATGTCCGTCCAACTTTGCAAGAGCTACAACAGCATTTTCTGGTATCATGTAGGTAATAAAAGCAAATCCTTTAGGTTTTTTGGTCAGGTTGTCGATAGGAAAGAGGATCTCAGATAAAGGACCTGTGAAGTGAGAAAAAAAAAAATGAGACAAAATACTTACTGACATAACTTAATAACTATATGCGTACAGCATGTCCTTCAACTCACCGTGTTTAGTGAAAAGTTCCTTGAGCTCTTCTTCTGTACACGTGTAAGGAAGGTTTCTGATGAAGAGTCGACCAGAGTCTGAAACATCCTCTTCCTCCTCATCTTCCTTCAGCTTCCTGCTGAAGCTTCTGTCAATTTCTTTGTCGTTTTTGTTTCTCTTGCTTTTTGCTGCCGAAGGATCAACACGGAAAACTTCGATGTAACGACCACCTGGAAAACAAGCAAGTTCGCCTTAAAACCAGAAGCACATCCAGATAAACTGGAGGAAGGTCACCAGAAAGCTCATCTTTCATTTCAGTCATATCATAAAACTCTAAATTGATCTAGCCTAATGTTGAGAACTCTGAGTTTTCGGTTTTACAATGGCTGCTATAAATTAGTTAAATCAACTCTAAGTAGAACCATTCAGAATTTAGCATGTTTGAGCAACAGGTTTGAAAAGCCATTATAAAGGGAGCCCCGATTCGACGTGTCAACATGACAAGAGGCAACAGGAAGTGTCTATTTAACCCCACCGGAACTAGAGGTTTTAATGCAGAAATAAATAAAATACAAAGAAGGAGAATGTGTTTAAAAGACAGAGAAACAGCTCCACAGCGACAAAGGAGAGGAAGATTGCAGAGAAGAAGATTGTTGCTCGGATTAATGCGAAAGTTTATATGTAGTTGACTATGGCAGGCCGTTTTTATATTTATTTAAAGCACTCCTCTCTCTGTTGTTTTACTTGAAGATCACTAAAATAAGATATATAGCTCAGTAGGTAACACTGACGACTCCGGTACAGTTGATCGTGAGTATGACTCCCGGCATGGACATCCAGGTGGACCCTTAGGTAAGGTCCTTAGTGCTCTGCCATGAGTGAAACCACAAATACAAGATGTCGTATGAGTTAACAAGCTCCGCGTCAGTTGCTAGGGAACCAGGGCACCTTGTTGACAAATTGGCTACTGGAACAACACATAGAGCAGAATATATACATACCGTAAATCCTCTAATATAGGCCCGGGCCTTTATTTCA